ATATATATATATATATATTGATTAAGTGATATATTCAAATGAATATGATAATTAAAGAAGCATTATCACCCTGCATGTGTTGTGCTTGATGAAGTGCTACTTTATGATACAAACATAATTAATAATTATTAACAAAAATCTTTTTCATTAGAATAACTATTTTGATGATTTAAAAACTCAATTAAACAATCTTTGCCAGCTAAATGTTACTTCACTCATGAACTATTTGATTTATGCCTATCAAAAGATCTGCACAATTATACATTTATATCACCTTAATTTTCTTTATTAACTTAAGTTGAGATTGTCTTTGCACTGATAACTTATTATTTGAACACTTTCTCTTTTCCTTAATCATCTATCTTCTTTTGAAACTTTAAACAACTATATTTACATCACAAATATTACTTATCAAAATATATAACAATAAATAATATTAACTTAAACTTTCTTGATAACTTGATGGAATGTGGGCTAACACAATAAATTTTTGATAACTTTTGATGGAATGTGGGCTAACACAATAAATTTATATAAGTGAATAGAGCCAAATTTAGAGACACAATGTCTACTATCTGAGATAATAAAAAGTTGCATTAAAATACCATATTATTGGATTCTAAATACTAATAAAAAAATAATAGCATGTGTTAGAAGAATCATAAAAATCAATGATAAATTTTCTTTTTTAAGATGAGATATAATAATATGATAAGTACTCTTGCAAACCAAATTTCAATTTTTATTATTTGATTGATTTCATTCGGTTAATGCAAGCATTGCTAAGTTATTACAATCCTTTCACACACATAATATTCCCTAAATGAGGATAACACAAATTGCTTCTTACATAATATAGGTAGCCATATGCAACATGCCATCTTAAAGAACCTGTCCCAATGCCTTTCCTATAAACACATAGACCAAAGCAATGCAACTAATTACTAACCACAAATCATACACATCTTATCTTCACTTTCCTTAGCTGAGAAAAATCAAATTAACTTGAATTCCTAATTTCAAAATTTGAACACTAAAACGCATAATACGAAAAAACTATTGCTTCACTCATCAAATTCTTTCATCCCTTTCATTACTAGACAAACAACAATATACATATGTACCCCCCAACATGCATAGATCTAATCATTTGACAACCTCTTGTGATAAATGTTACATATAATATGCATGATAATGGCTATAGGGAGTAGGGTTGTCAACGATCCAATTTCGACCCGAGTTGGGGTTGGCTCAAAATTGACTCGAAAAAATTCTATGCAAAATTTTGACTTGTAGCTCGACTTCTTTATTTCGATTCAATCTCAACCCGAGTCAAAATTCGAACAATTTTTCAAATGATTAATAATCTTCCAGCTAAATTCACAAACTTGGCATCACCAGAACTGTTAGCTATCCGATTTCGAGTCAAGCTGGGTTCGGCTCAAATCAACTCAAAAAAATTTTAATCCAAAACTTCGGCTCATATCTCGGCTCCTTTATTTCGATCCGAGTCAAAACTCAAATCAAATTTTGACTGATTAATGATATTCAGGCTAAATGCACAGCCTTGATAGAGAGAAAAAAAAAGTTACCGTTATTTGCTTATCTAATTTAAATATTTGAATTTTATACTAATTTGGCGGCATATCCGCATGATATATGGTGGCTTATGCAGTGACCCGCCAGCCAACGCTTCGCCGCATAATTGACCAGATACACCTAGCCCACGAGTCGGAACCCGAGTCGGAACCGGTTTTATCGAACCGCACGAGCACCGGTTCGAGACTCATCCGAGTCAGGTCATGATCTCCCCCGGACCGCTACATGCACTGTGATTTCTCAAAACCCGAGTCGAGCGAAAGCCGCCGCAGCAGCCCTCTGGCTCTTTGTCCCCCGATCCGATCCCCGTTCCATCTCCGATCTCTCCTCGCTTCGCGTTTTTCTCTCATCTTCTCTTCTTCTCTTCTTCTCTGTTCTAGGGTACCCGGGAGGGGTTGATGCCGCGATCTTGGCTTCACCTCTGTGCGATACAGCTCGGATCGGGACAGCGGCTAGGTATTTATATTGTCTTTGTTGTTCATCGATTTGTTCCCCGCCTTTTGTGAATGTGATTGGATCTCGGTGTTTCTGCGAATTAAAGGCTTGGGATTGTTGCGATTGTGTTTTGTATTCCACTAGGGGTGGATGGAGGGTTCCCGGGAGAATTGGAGGAAGGAGGGAGAGGAAGAGATGGTGTGTACGGGAACGGAAACTTCTGGAAGCGGAAGGTGGGATTGTGATGGCATCGCTGGTGGTGGTGGTGGTGGTGGTGGTGATGTTGATGGTGGTTTGATTGGCGCTTATGTTGAGAGGAATAGTTTTGGGGTGGGGAGGGTTCTTTTGGGGAAGGTTGTTTCCTATGATGGGACGAGTAGGCTGTACCGGGTTATATTCGAGGATGGGCATATGGAGGATTTGGAACGGGAACTGGTGTGCGGAATGTTAATGTTGGACAAGGGAGTTGGGAGGCTTACTCGGAGGAAGAGGAGGCTAGACCGGATAGTTCCTTTGGGTGGCTTGAACAGGCGAAGCACGAGGTCTAGGAAGGATACGTCTGATGTGCCTGCTTCAATTGGCCAGGTGAGCTCAGAAGATGTATTTAGGGATGCGGACTCATCCAGTGATTCTTGTGACCATGCTGGGGTTTCTGCTGCTGCTCCGAGTTCTACTTCTGTGGAAGCACATATCTTGCCTCTGGAACTGCCTCCATCTTCAGGCGACATTGCTGTTTTAGAGGGCTCAGTTTCACATCTGTTCTCCACTTACAATTTTTTGAGGTCATTTAGTCTCCAGTTATTTCTTAGTCCATTTGGGTTTGACGATTACGTGGGATCCCTGAACTGTACTGTTCAAAACTCTTTGATGGATTCAATCCATTTGTCTCTCATGCGAGCTTTAGGTCGCCATCTCCAGATGGTTTCTTCAGAAGGCCCAAACCTGGCTTCGAAATGCTTAAGGTGAGAATTTCTGATGCTATTCTTGTTTCCTTTTTGCTTGACTGCTTATTATTCTTATTTAAATTTTGGCGTTGAAATTTGCATTTTAAATGTTTTTTTGGCAGATTATATGATTGGACATTGCTTGATATGTTGACCTGGCCTTCTTTCGTAGTTGAGTATCTCTATGTTATGGGATACGTGACAGAATTTGATTCAAAGGAGTTCATTGATAGTGTTCTTCATGGTGAATACTACTGCCTAACTGTGGCTACAAAGCTGAAGGTATTGCAATTATTGTGTGATGATGTCATAAATAGCGGGGAACTTCGAACAGAACTTGGAATGCGTGTAGGCGTGGAAGAGGATAATGAAGAAGGTTTAGATGAAGATGTGCCAACAAGTTTACGTTTTAAAACCTCTAAGAACTCAAGTTGGAAGGATTCGGTGGTTTTACGGGAATCTCTTGTGCTTGAAAACCAGCATGTTAATACTGATGTTTCTGAACTAGGTGTTGATGGATCTGCTAATTCTCAGGATAAGAACAGTGACGAATGCTGTCTTTGTGGAATGGACGGGACCTTGATTTGTTGTGATGGGTGTCCTTCAGCATATCATTCTAGATGCATTGGGCTGAATAAAGCATTTCTGCCTGAAGGTCTGTGGTTTTGTCCAGAATGCAGTATTAACAAGCTTGGGGCCACTTCGTCTCGGATAGGAAAGGGAGCAAGAGGAGCAGAGGTATTTGGCGCTGATTCATATGGTCGCATGTTTGTGGGGACTTGCAATTACTTGCTTGTGTAAGACTTCTGCATCATATAGTTTCATTTGTGTTTGTTTGTGATGCTTTAGCTGAACTTTAGATTCATTTGGTAAATGTTTTGATGAGAGAAAACCTTTTCTCATGATCTTTGTTGAAGGTTTTGGCCTCTTTATGAGCATTCTGGTCGTTAAATTTCTTTTCTCGGTGTTATTTTATGCCATTAGAATTCAAAAAAGGATTTGTTTGATACACACCTTGAGGTGATTGTCCATATGTGCATGTTTTGCTTTTTTTCTTCTTGGTGTATTAATTGCTAGGTTAGCTATCATGTTTCTTTTTTAATTGCTTCCACGTCCTTCTCACTTCCTTGAGCAAGTTTAATTCTTTTCCCTTCAGTCTTTCAGCACAGGTGTTCCAAAGCCCTTGTCTTTTGGCATCCTATGATTTTTATGACGAAAAAAATTAGTATTACCTATGTATTCTCTGAAAAAAACTATCTTTCAATTTGCATAAATATCTAGTACTATATCATATAATGCCGTCTATGTTTTGACCTTATTGATGAATTTCTAAACTCAGCAACTGACATAGCCCTGTATGTTTCTGCGCTTTACATTAGTTTGCTGTTTAACAAGAAGTTAGGTTGTTTGAAAGGGATTTTTCTAGCAGCCTTGAATCAGTTTGCAGAGAAAGGTCACCTTTTGATTAGGCTATCAAGTGAGCTTTACTAGCCGCACTAGTCCTGCACTTCCAATGCTTTAATGGGTTAATCATTAATGGTAATGAGATTAAATATGCTAAACTTCAAAAGTCTAAGGGGTAGCCTACGAGCCCATTTTTCTATTTAAAGCATCAATGCAACACCATTGGTCCCCTCCAAGAGGCTTGAAATTGAACTAAAAATGATATTTTAGACATGGTTTAACTTATTGCCTCTTCTAAACATAACAAAATTTTTGTTGATAAATCATTTGCTCTTATATTATGAATTTAATTGCATAAATGCAATTATTTTAAAGTTTGTTTATGAATGTTTCGTTAAGGCATTTTAAGCTCAAAAGTAATTCAAAATGACTTTTGAGTTCATTCCTCTCACTTGACATGTGGACTCAAACAGGCTCATGTTGATTTAGATTAAATTAAAAATTCAAGCAAGTTTTTACTTGATTTTTATTGGAGAAATATGTTATATTTTAAATGGTGCTACATCTTCTTAAAGTGTACCCCAATGAAAGCCCATCATAAATCTAGGCTAGCCCAAGTCTATGGTTAGCTTTAAAGGGCCTAAAGAGGGGCTTAAACAGCTTGAAAAGCCCCATTTGATACAAATTTTTGCCCTTATCATTTTTCTAGTATCAAGCCTTCTATTTGCCAACCAGGACCTTGAGCTTTAATGATAGCGAGCAAGGCTTCCCTTCATTAGAACTCTACTTCATTTCTTCACTTTTTTTTTTTTGTTTGAAGGAAACTTCTTTACTCTAATTGCGGGAGTTTGATACTTTAAAACCTTATAATTTTTTTATCATTTTATTCATACTTTGAGAGAAAAAAATGGATGTGATATATTTCAAATAGGTGAATCAGAACAACAGCAAGCAGTACCTTTTGTTGGGACTTGTTTGAGGTGACATGATGACAGCTCTAGATGGAAGTTCAGGAGAAATGGGTATGGTGACAGGATTCTTTCTGGTTATGGCTTTTTTGTTTTGAATTATATGAAGGGAAATCCAGGTGGAATGGAGATACATGATGTTTGAGTGCTAAGCTTCAGTTTTTTGTTGAAATAATATTGTTGGTTAATTTGGATTTTTTATTTTATTTTGTCTTCCTGTCACCATGTAAGATTGATGCTATTTTGGTTGATATTATCATTTGAACATTTGTGCTTTTTCCTGCATGCCATTCCCTTAAAGATTCTAAACTTAATTTGTATAAGTGTAAACTTGGAAGGCTAGAGTGAAAAAAGATTATATTTGTGAGTAGTTAGTGTAACACTTATTGAAGGATAATATAATATGTAAACGTCTTGCATGTTTCATGTATTATGAAGGATAATAGCACACAAATAAAATAGGTTCATGATATTAATATGGATGGAAAATAAGGGAGAAGTTGTTGACCAAAGGAAACATGTCTAGAAATGATTAAAAAAGAAAAAAGAGAAGTGCACAATATAGAGCGAACACATTGTCCAACACCCTTTGGATTAAACAGAAGAAGATTCTTAAAACCAATCTAAAATAATTGGGAAAAGGCTGATGATCATGTACAACTATGGATTATTGAAATTCTATTTATTTTTTGCTTATTTGCATTCTTTGATTGCTTAATATCCACTAACCTATAAGAGATTTATGATGTTATATTATTCGTAGTTTTAATTCTTTGTTTATTTAGAACCTGTTTCCTATCACAATCTAAGTCTCTTTATGTTTATTTGCTGCTTTTGAGGGGCAGACTTGGCACATCATTGAATGAAGATTCATTTTCTAGATATTATAACCAGGATGACATCCCAAAGGTTTTAAGTGTAATTTCTACAACTCAAGCAAATGCCTTAGATTATGTTGATATCAGCATAGGCATAGCTGAATATTTTGAGGTTCCAATGGGCTTTTTAAGTGCTGAAAGAGTAGATTATTCGGGGGATACTCCGGCCAACAAAGATGATACTGTCTGTTATTCAAACACTTTACCAAGGACGATGAAGACTTTGAATAATTCGGGAGAAAATAGTGTGAGCAATATAATGGCACAAAAATTGAAGCATAGTGTTGCCAAGAATGATGTGACTGATGATCCAACTTCTCCTTCTGTCGTAGGTCAGGTTGATATTTCAGGCGCACTAATAACTCTCATGGAAAGCCATGATGTATGTGCCAATAAGTTACTTACAACTCCTGATGAGATCTTGGTTTTCTCAAATAATGAAAATCCCACAAATGGCATTGTTCTTCGTACAGATCCTAAAGTTCTCATCTCCAAACCAATTGAGAGAAGGGAAAAGCCTGGCTTTGGTTCTGTAGTGACAGATCTTTCTTACTCAAACCCTGCAATGCCTACTGAAAAATCAAATATAGTCAGCAATTTTGCTTTTAGTTCCGGAAATGGGAGTGACATTTGCAAGGAAGATGCATATAGTTCTATTTATTCAACAAAGAACGGTTCAGCTGGAATGTGTTATGAAAGCAGACATAAAAATTCAAATGATAGAGCCTCAGCTGTTCCTGTTTCTTTCAAGCCTTTGTCATACATAAATCAGTATATTCAAGGTGACATAGCTGCATCTGCTGCAGCTACTTTGGCTGTTCTCTTAATGAATGACAGTAAAGTTGCCGGTGTAAATGGTTCCTCCAACCAGAGGAAATTTGTAGCTGCAACTATTGCAGTGCAAATGAAAGCATTTTCTGTAGCTGTTATGAACTTTCTGTGGCCATGTGCTGGGGAAAGATGTGGTTGGTGCATAGCATGTAAAGGCCCAACAACTAACAAGAAGGGATGCCTGTTAAATTTAGCTGCATCAAATGCCATTAAAGGGCCTACTAGAAATGGTAACCTTCGTGCAAGCAAGCACCATGAAAGTCATCTACCAGTCATTGCTGCCCATTTGCTGATCATGGAGGAAAGTTTGCGAGGGTTAATGGTTGGCCCATTTTTAGATGAATGCAGCAATCAATGGCGTATGCAAGTTAGAGAAGCCAGTAGTTGCAGCTTCTTGAAGTCGCTGATACTTCAAGTATGTTTCTCTTGTTAATTATTTCATACAATGACACTTGTTTCTTTTTCTTTCTGTATATTCTAAATTTCTAATGCACATTTTCCTTTATTTGTTTCCATTTCTATCATTGGATTATTTGATTTGTGTTTTGGTGTTTCTATACTTTCAGCATCGTACAAAATGTTTAGTGTCTTAACTTCTTAGTCCCCTTCCATTGATAAGTGTGTTAACAAAAATTGTTAAATTGCTTTTCGCTAATGCATGAATACTTCTAAATAATTGTTGTAAACACAATTTTATCTATAGAAAATGATAGAAAAGACAATTACCAAGAGTTATCAAATAGAAAGGAAAAATGCATAACAAAAAATAATGATAACAAGATGCCTAAGGATTCATCAAAATAGGAAAATCATTCTTTTGGGCTGCCTCGATTGAAGCCAGTTGAAAACATGAGTGATGATAGATTTTTGCATCATCCAATAAAAATAATTTGAAACCTTTTATCCACTAGAACTTTATTACTTCAAATGCTCCCATTTGAATCATAAAGTTATTATTGATGATGATCAACAAGAACAACAAACTTTATCTCACTAAGTGGGGTCGGCTACGTGAATTGTTTTTCTCGATTGCATCCTATTGAGTGTCATATTTTCATTTAATTCTAATTAATTAACATCATTTTTTATACAATATGCTCTGCCCAAGTCTTTCTAGGTCTACCTACGTCTTTCTTAACATAAGTCAAACCTAAAGTAATTTGAAACATTTTATCATAACCGGATCATCAGATGACCAATGTTTAATGTGACCAAACCATCTAAGATGGTTCTTTCTAATTTTGCCCGCCACAGGAGCCGCACCAACCCTATCACGGATATATTTATTTCACATTTTGTCTCAGTGTAAAGTCACTCATCCACCAAAGCATTCTCATCTTGAAGTTTATTAATGATGATGATCGTTGATATTTTTTAGAAGTAGGATAAAGCTGAGGAACTTAAAAACTATGAGAATCAATATATATTATATTGCTTGTAAATATTACGAGACCATTTCTATCAGGCTAGTATGAACAAGCCTAGTAGGTTTAAAATCCAAAGGGAAGTATAATTGTTCTAACTTTTGAGTACAAACATAAACTGATGACTAAATAATCATTTTGGGAGAAGGAAGGATCTAAACATTTGAATGTATTTCTTAAGCTTTATGATTTGACGTTCTTAGATTTGGATGAACCTTGAAATATTTATAGAGACTGTGCACAGAATTTTGCAGAAAGAGAATTTCGGGAGATGCTTGCAAGTTCTGCTTTTTAGTAATATCTATTAATGTCCAATTCCACCAAAACCTTGGCCACATATGGCTTAAGAAGATGTGTTGTAGCAGCATCCACTTGCATAAATTTACCAAATATAGATTTCAAAGAGTCTAAACTGTGTTGGTTAAAATAATGAAATGCGGCCAACGGAAAGCCACCCCCCATATGTGGTTGATTGTTGGTTTCTCATGAGTGCAAAAATGAAATGGCCACATAAGTATGTGCATTGGATTGCCATTGGCATAGTCAGTTTCTCTACAAAAGAATCTAGTGTAATTTGCTCAAATGATCATTTTATAATGATGTCATGAGGATCAATGAGTCCAGTTGAATATTCATTAGTGAAGTGTAAAGAGAATTTATTTGCAGTAAAAAAAAATAGAGTGGCATAGAAATCATATAGATTTAATTATCAAAGAAAGTGAGTGTAGTTTTGCAATGAATGATGTTGATGATGACATGAATTTGAACCATGATGAGAATAGAAAATTAATTTGAGCCACACCAACATTTTTCCTAGCATAATCTTTTTTTTTTCCCTCAATAATGGTTCATTGTCTCTTGCATTCTTAATTTTTTCATCATCTAATGTGGGTAAATCAACTAGAAGTTCCTTTTGAGTGCACTGGTGAAATCCAGGACTTTTGTGATGACATTTGAAGCAAGAATCATTTTATTGTTTATTGTGCACGCTGGAAGGGGTCCTTCAGCAGAATTAATCATGGATTTAGTTGGGGTATTGATCGTTCGCTTGATAAATGAATGATTTGAAGGGTTATTATTTGCTAGAGGGTACCCAAATTTGTAGCGGCAGGTGATAAAAATAGGATAGCACGATTAATGCTAATTTAGGGTTTTATAATTTATCATTTAATGACTTTAGGAGTGCATTACATGATGTCTCTTTGTAGTTTGGTACTTTATCCATCAATAAATCTTAAGATAATTATCTTTGATTCTTTGTGTAAGAGTATGATTAATAAGCTTCTTAAATTTATTTTGACATGCATTCACTAATTGACTATCTTGTTTGATTTTAATCATATTGCTAAGCTAGTTTTATTTTTATCAACTTTTAGATGTTTTTGCCTTAATAAATGTTTCATTCAAAGGAGATGTTAGTTGATTCACTTCCGCAATCTAATTGAATTTCTCGCCTTGACAATTTTTTTTTTTGTCCAATAAATTAGCTTTATCATAACAATGATAGATCCCTAGCGGCTACCAATATAATTCCAATTAAATAAGCCATCCTAGTTTAAAAAGGCATTTAGATCTTGTTTTTTGTTGAAAAAAATGCTTGTACCTTAATTTTCTTTGATAGTTCATAGTCACCATCTCTAAGGGGTGTAATGTTATTTATATTTTGAATGTTCGATTTAGTTTTAATTGGTAGTGGTCATGAGTACTATTATCTAATCCTCTTATCAAGGAGATTATAACATGTTATGTGGTCTTGAGGATTGTTAAGCGTTATACGGTGTTTATCACTGTAATGGTGCTAGTAAACTCTAGTACTTGAATCATCTTTTACCTAATTCTTTGTTGAGGTGTATCTTGACCTAAACTGCCACAACAACTAGTTCTTTTAGTAGCTTATTGTTTAGTTCAGAGTCCTTGGATTGTGCCTTACGTTGATTTGAATTTCTTATGATTAGGTCAATTTGGAAGAATACCCCAAGAGGCACCTTCACCAAAATCTCTAAGCTTTATATGGGGTTCATAGTGCTTAGATTTGATAATCCATAATTAGACTAAAGTTATTTTTAATAGTCTTTACATTTTATATAAGATCAACCTATTATTTTCTAATTTGTCTATCCATTTGCCCTAAGTGCATCAAGAGATGATCTAATGAAATTTGATTTGTCATATGTGCATAACAAATCAAGCGAATGTATGCTAAATATAATTAGATAGGTTGATTTGAAATGCAGACATAAACATAATCACTTTGTAATATCAAAAGATAAGTGAAAATCAACAATAAAAATGTTACTTGGTTCCCTTAATATGCAAAAAGCAATTGTTGTTAGGCGTATAATGACAACAATAAATACAGCAAGATCAACAAATGGTGACCTTATATATTTTTTTTCACGGAAAATTAATTTTGTAATCTAAAAATGATAGTTGTACTACAGGATGCAATTTGTTGAATCCAAAAAATATTCGGGAGACACACCCAAGGTATAGAACGTTCGGCTAAGAAGTGGTTATAGAGAGAGAGGGAGAAGGTACATTAGGGAACAATTAGAGAGTCTAGTCCTTATTCATGACATAGTCCCTCTATTTATAAGAATATGTCACATTTATTACAAAACTACAAGTCAACCCCCTCATTATTAGGTTTGAGGGGGGGCCTTTTAGTAATTACAAGAACATTAGTGTATAATAAGGCTGTAGAATATATTCGGTAGTTGAGAAGTCAGCCGATCGCTCGCTACGCCTTAACTCCATTGGTACACGGTCCGAGACCCGAGTAATTTGTCGATCCTCTTTGGAGTCCATCACCATTCTATAAGAAATTTTTTGCTACATTCTTCCAATCGCTTGATCTCAACGCCTTCTCCGTTAGCTTCCAATCCTTCAGTCGTCAATAAGACGTCTGATAGATCGTTCCTCGCTCCAAAACCTTCTATTTGCCTCAAGATTAGCGCTGACATATTTTTTCTATACACAATTAAAAATAATTTTCATATGAAAAGAAAAAAATATAAAAAGCAAAATTAAAAATAATATATGATAATCAAGGTTGAAGAATATTTCAAAATATAAGGAAAATTATATAAGCTTTTTATTTGTAATGTTTTGCTTGAAATTTGGCGAATAATTGGGAGTAGCGATAATTTTTTCTCATTCATGTTCCATCTGATTGGTAAAATTTGAAACTGTTTATTCACCAATGTTAACGTTAATGCTCCTATCTAATTCATTAGACTACTGTGAATCATTTCTAGGAAGAAGGTTAGGGTCTACTAAAATAAGAAGAATGAGATTAAAGTTAATAATGCTTACAGATAGCATGATCATATTCACCTATCTAATGGCTGCAGGAACAAAAGGTTCTGTTTCTTAAGGAAGGTCTAAAATTAGTTCCATCTTTCCTGTGCAGATCTAACTTTAATGTAGGTGTTGCAATTAGAATCTTGATTAAGGATTTTGGACCTTTTGTGCCTGAAAGTTCCATATTCTCAATTCCAAACTAACAAGAAGAAATGCCTTTAAATTCTACCTTATATCAATAGCCAAAAGATTAGGAACCAATCTATATCATCTTTTCAAAAGGAATAGTAACAACCAAGTCAATTTGAACTCTGACCATAAGTGGCTTGGAGAACGAACCATAACAACTTGCACTTGTAAATGTTTATTGAAAATAAGCATAATGAGCATGAATAAATTGGTTGAAATAATGTAATCAAAGCCTATAAAAAGCGATACAAATGTCAGGGATTGGTGGCTCCTTTAAAAGTCAAAGTGGGGTGACCGTTTTAGCATTCACATCGGATAGCTACTAACATAGTAAGATTGTGGAGAGAAGAGTCTAGTGTTATTTGTTTCTGAAGAGTCTTATAATGATATGATGAAGGCTATTAACCTCAATGGTGGAGCTGTGGAGCACCAACCAACTATAAGCTTGACACAAATTTGTAAATAATCCTTAGATTAGGATGGTTGATCCAAAGCATAC